ACCGCATGTGGCGGCGGGAGTCGCAGAGAGACGATGGAGCCGCCGTCTGGTCCTTGGATGAGATGGAGCGGCGCTCTGGTCACGTTGATGTGGCTGAGTGGCGTTCAGGTGGCATGGGGACGGTGCAGCCGTGTCGCCTGAGCCGGAGATGCCAGGGCCGGTCTGCCGGATGTCATTCTCGAGGTGATCCGGTTTTTCATGTCCGAACTGTTTGTGCGGTTTGGCGGGCTTAGGATCAAGGGAATTGTTCTGACGTATTGGGGGCAGGTGTCCGTCGGATAGAGCGACGTGTTGGGATCCGCAGGAGGCGGTAGGTGAGTGAAGCGCTGCTCAGGCTATTTCGGCTTTGGTGATTCTCTCGATTGCTAGTGTCGAATGAATGAAACGCCAACGGGCCGCGAGCACGGATATGCTTTCTGACTAGCAAGTTGGTGCGAGCTTGCGCCGTCGATGGAAGTGTCACAAGTTTGCGTGACCGATAATGGTGCATTTTGAAATGGGCCACAGCAATTGATTGGATGAATGCGACAAGACGGGTGAACACGGAATGCTTATAAATCATGCAAGTGGCTCAAGAGGTCAAGCTACCCGCGATCGAACGCTTCGATTTGGGTCCCGGCCGCCTGGTGTCTCTTTGACCTTTGACCTTTGGCACAGCTGGCGGGGAAGGTTTGATGCTGATGGTCCTGGCCGATGTATAAGACATGATTTGTAGGACGATTGGCCCCTGTTCATACCATCGTTGGAGACGTGCATCTTTCTAGTCAGATGTATATTTGCTGGTGCTTGGTGCGAATCATACTTTGTCATCCGGAAGGTATTCACTACTTCCTCGGGGGCTGTTCCGCGTTGTTGTCGGCGAACAGCTCGCCGTTCGTTGCTTCGCGAAGCCGAGCAACAGCAGCCTGCTCTCAAAGCAGAGCAGGTCGGTATGCTCGCCGTCCTTCGTGGAGAAACCCGCCGGCTGGTTTCGCCACTCAACTGACAGAACGCGTCCAGCCGTCCGATGTGCTAATAGCTGAGTGTGTACTTTTCCATTTGCCACGCTGTCATTGTTTGGGGGAGTGGAAGGAGGGAAACCACCTGCCAAGTGGTAATGCCGCTCCCAGGTGTGAGGAGTGTTCGCCTTCGCGTCCTAATGCCGGCGGGCCTCTGATGAGGCACGCAGCATGACAGCCGGCTCACCAGCCTTGTCTGACGGGTGCAGTGCGAGTGGGAGAAGCCATGCCGGTGTCTCGGGTAACGAACGAGGCATTGCACCGGAGATAGGCCGTCTCCTGATGTGGGCTGAGCGCTGCAGCGGACGCCGTGCCGGTGACTACCGCCCCTGTCCAGCTCGCCGGCCCGCCGCTCGGCCAACGTCCGTATTTTCGTTCTGCGGCCCCCGCCTGTCGTCTGTTGACGCGGCTGGCCGCTACTGTCCGGCCGGCCGACGGCCGCGACGGCGTGCCGCCCGCGGCGTGCCCCGCGGGGGCCGGCCGCCTGCCCCCTCCCCTCCCGACGCCCTGCGGCCGCGACGGCAGCCCTTTGAAGCACCCGCCGGCGCGGCGCGGCCGCTCGTAACCCGTGACGGCGGTCTTGTCGCGCGGCGCCGGCGCCTCAGATGTCGACCCGCCGCGGTCACGGCCTCCGGAGCGGCCGTGACGTCACCTGCCGTCCAGCCGACACCGACCGGGTAATAAACGCGGCAGAAGCGGCGCATTCCGCGTGTCAGCGGGCGCCGGCGCGCGGCGGTAAACGGCGCCTGGCACCGACGGCACTGTGACGCCGCCATGTCGAGCATGTCACAGCGGGCGCTCAGTGCGATCGGGCGCCGGCGCTGACGGCCGTCTGGGGCGTGTCGGCGGCCGCGACGTGGGAAGGCGCCGAGGCGTAGGCCGAGGAGTGACGCCCGCACCGAGTGCTGAGGTGGGGCGGCTACTGACGGCTTCAGTGGCGCAGCGGGGATCTGCAGGGCGGCTGGAGAGGAGGAGCGGCCAGACGCGCTAAACACGGGATGGGTCGCTGACAGAGCTACTCACGGTCCACATTGTTGTATATGACGAAGGAAAGTCGGCGTTTGTTTTTCTCGAACCGAGGATGTGCGCGTTCGGAGCTGGGCGCGCTCCATCTGAGCGACCCATCACTGCTGACGTGTGAACTCTGACGTGCTCTGCAGAGCGAGCTCTTGGAGAGGGGGTGAGTTCTTGCGCCCTTGGTTGCGCGTTGCTCCGAGGCACTGTTGCGCCGGGTTGGTTTCTGCGCGCACTCGTCGCCCGCCAGCCTGGACACGGGCTGAAGCCGTGTTTCCGCTGTTGGCCGCCGATCGTCCCCTCAGCGCCGACACACGGCGTGTTCCTCGGCTGTTGCTGTCAATTCTTCTCCCGCCTGCACTGTCGGGCGGTCTTGGGGTGGAGGGGGGGGGGGGGGGGGGGGGGAACAGGCGGGCCGCGCCCCACGCTGCCAGGCGGGCCGCTCCCCGCCAGGTCAGCTCCAGCGGCAGCTCTCGCCGAGGCAGCTTGCCGCCGGCACCCCGGCACCTTCGGCACGGTCGTACGTGACATCGCGCGCCGTACTGCCGCGTACTGACTCACCCCCGGCGCGTGCTGGCTGGTATGCGACGCAACGGTTTTTTGACCCTCCACGCGGACACCATCATGGTTCAGCCTGCCGCCGCACCCAGTAACCTGTTGCGCACGGTCACCGGGTGACGTGTGGCGCACAGGTGACCCGTGTGGCGCACGGACGCCAACTCGGCCGTGTTGTGATGTCCTCACTGGCACTGGGGTGTCCAGGCCCCACAGACACTGCTCTGGCTACATCGCAACTCAGCTTTAGTGTCCATACGGGAGGTCGCTGCATAGATGCTTCGGGGACACCCAGCCGGTAGTATTTTGTGCTGAAGTGGATTCAGCGCGAGGGTTCCGCAGTACACGTGGCTCTGTTCGTCTTTTTTCTGATTTTCCCAGGTGTTGTCTTTCTCGTTTTGCGCGCGCATCTCCGGCTTATAGCACAGAATAGCTTTAATGCAAAGCCTCACGCGAATTGTTCTTTACCTGTAACTCGCCACTCCAAACGTTGGCCTGCCGCCAATCGGCTTCGTCCGACTTAGTTCCAAATTTCGTACCAGATCCGCCACATATGGCTCGCTCGGGCTCAGGTGCCCTTCCCGAAATAATATGGTCGGAGCGTGCTGGCGCTGTCTCATTTTGGGAGTTTTATAAACCCTCTCATTGCCAGGTGCATTATGTCTCATGGCGTGAAGTCATATAAGTCTTACGTGGCCCGTAAATGCCGCCACCTTTTGGTAGCGGATGCTCCAGTAGATTCGAGTTCACAGCCATGTGGGGTTGTAAAGTCCTCGTACCTGCCGGTTAGTGACGTCATTCGGTGATTCGGTGGTGCAATCAGCTGATGCGTTCCAGGTCCTGGCCTGCTCGTGTCTGGAATAGAAAAGCCAGATAACTAGGTTATCAAGCTGGGTTATGGCTGTATCTACGTGTGGTGTAAGAACTTAACGTGCTCCGAAAGTCCGTTCACCTGTTTCGCCAAAGAATGTGGTAAGATGGGGAAATCATCGTTCACATTTTTGTATCCAGGTGGCTGCTACGCGTGGCCTGTTCACTTCTGCGAAACAAGACCAATTGCCTCGTTACGATGTGGCGTCAGACGCACCAGAAACCCCGTGCTGTCCAAAATGCCTTTAAGACCTGAACTCACCTCTTTCTTTTTTTTGAGGAATTAGCGTGGTGGCCTATTAGCAACTTCAGGCGGAACGGTGCGCCTGTGGTGGTCGCTGCCGTGGTGCCTAATCCGTGGGGCGTGGCTGAGCCTCTGGGCGATCTTCCATCCACCTCGCCGCTCGCCCGCTCTGGCGCGTCCCCAGCGGCCGACCCCAATCACCTCGGCGCCGCGCCGCGCTAGTCACGCGCTACAGGGCCACGCGCCGTGCAGCGCGTGCAGCGTCCGTGCCCAGCGCGACGCACCGCCACCGCGCCTGAGCCGGTCATCGTCGAGCTGCCGTGGCCATCCGACACCGATTTGCCGCCGAGAATGCGTCGTTACGGGCGGTGCAGGCAATGTGCGGCGAAGGCCAGCTGTCGGGCGCGTGACCGCCGTCCAGCGCCGGTGTTGCTGGGCCGCCGGACGACGGCGGAGAGGCGGCCGAGCCCCGCGCCGGCGGCACAGGACCGCCGCCACCGGCAAATAACGGCCACGGCCGGACGCGTGCGCGGCTCGCTGTTGACGGCAGCCGTTCTTGACGATCTCGCTTCATGGCGCTGATGTGTTCGTCGCGTGCTTGCGTCGATGAAACCGGAAATTGTTCGGGAGCTGCAGAAATTAATCGCAGTCGTTTTGTGTCGTGTGGCGTCTGTTATGCCCACGGCAATCGACGGGAACTCGCACGAAGTGCCCGAACATGGGATATTCTTCCTCGTGATTCCAACCACCACCGTGCTGCCTCGTGTTCACTCAGAAACCACGGTCTTGGAGCGTATTCGGAGCGCACCAAGAATGTGCTATTCTACGTGATGTCAATTATATGTGACGTCACGAAAAAATTTTGCCGGGCGTTCTCGCAGGCGATTCGTTTTCTACTTACGTCTCCTTAACTGTCGTGACAATAAATGCGTATTCAAAGACAATATTTTCGTTTACAGGTACGTACTGCTCATGAGAGTGGGAACTTTAAATTATGCTCCTTGCGACGCATGAAACGCATTGTTTTCTCTCGTGGTCGGTCCTGGGCACGTAAATTAACCTCTTTGTCGTAGAATGTATTGCGCCACTTCTGTACCATTCCGATCTAGTCGCTGAAAAAGATTCTGCGCGTCCGGCAAATGCTCCACGTGACGTCACGTAAAGTCTTTGTCGTCCGGCTCGCTGCGAATACACGCCCAGACTCTGCCGCGCCGTGTACCGGTCTTCCGTGAACTTGGTGAACAGGAATTACGTGTCAAACATGGCCACCAGCGGTGTCCGCGCTCTGTTCGTAACCGAGCGTTCGTGTCCTTCCGCAGGTGACTCGTCCAAGCATCCGGACCACGTGCACGAGGACCCGGTGCACCACGAGGACCGGGTGCACAATGTTGGTGTGGTGCACGCGCTGCCGCCGGCCGCGCGGCCCACGGAGGAGACGGTGCCTCGCCGCAAGCAGGAGCCCGTTTTCGGCTCGGAGGTGCGGCCGCCGGCGCAGGTCAGTGCGGCTCGGCCCCCGAAGCGAGGCGCGTGTGTGAGCGTGAGCGAGTACTCGCTGGCAGACAGCGGCCGCAGCGCGGGCAAGGGATTACGTTGATCCGCGGCGGGGGTTTGAGCGGCGCGGGTGTGCTATGCTGCCGGGGCGTGAATCGGGCTGAGCCTGGGGCTCTCTCCGACCCGCCCTCGTGTCCTGTCCGGGGCCTCGTGGTCTCTCCGGCCCGCTCTTGTGTCCTGTCCGGGGCCTCGGGGGTCTATCCGACCCGCCCGTGTCCTGTTCGGGGCCTCGGGGTCCCTCCGACCCGGCCTGGTACCCGCCCGTGTCCTGTCCGAGGCTTCGGGGGTCTATCCGACCCGGCCTGATACCCGCCCGTGTCCTCTCCGGGGCCTCGGGGGTCTATCCGACCCGCCCGTGTCCTGTACGGGGCCTCGGGGTCCCTCCGACCCGGCCTGATACCCGCCCGTGTCCTATCCGGGGCCTTGGGGGTCTATCCGACCCGCCCGTGTCCTGTCCGGGGCTTCGGGGTCTCTCCGACCCGCCCCCGTGTCCCGTCCAGCGCCGGCCCGTTTTCCCGAGATTCTGGCCGGTTTATGGGGCCATTCATTCTGTGAGCTGGTCCCGAGTGTCGGCTTTAACGAAGCCGGCTCGCGTGTCGGGCCGGGCCCTGGTCTGTTTTCCCATCGGACGCTGATGCGGAGTCGGTGTGGATGAGCGTCCCAATTGCCGCCCAGGTTCGCCCAGCTTCAGAGCTGCGGGATCCTTGTTAAAGCTGCGACACCTGGCAGTGGGGCGTGCTGGCAGCGCGGCACAGCGATCTATTGCCGTCCAACCATTCGTGGCTGCGCATGTAAAGTCAAAGCACTTCACCAGTGGGAAGTCGTTATCTGAGGCTGACGAAGGCCGTCCTCCGGCCGTATCCCGCGGGAAGCTGACTAATCTAGGAGTGGAGTGGATTGTCTGATAGCTGATCCGTCTGTTAGTCACCACGGGGCCGGTGGCGCGCCCTCGACAGGCTGGCTCAAAAGGGCTGCAGCCGCCCTGGCTCTGTTGATAACGAGATAGCTGGCGGAGCGATCAGTCATACCGCTGTCGGTACTTTGTCGTCGCTGACGATATACAGAGCTGCACAGGCGCTCAAAACTAATCACCAAGCCGTTTTGGCGCCGTACATGTCCAGTCGTAGAGTCCGGCAAGCCGTCGTCATTTGTCAGCGGCTGATCGTGCTGACAGAAATGAACTATAGCATGTCCCAACTTAGTCCTGCATCGCGCATCGCGGCGCTTGGGATGGGCGTCGCGTGTTGACCCGAGGTCATGAGGTCACTCCTCCCTGGAGCCGTACCCGCCGCCGCCGGCCGTCACACCTCGGTACCGTGCATGTGGCCGTGGCTGACGTCCAGTGACCGACCTGCCGCCTCGGGCAGTGGTCTGGGTGGAGGGGGGCAGGCTGTCCCCGTCGCCGATCGTCACGCCTCAGTGCCGTGCCCGTGGCCGTGGCCGAGTCTGACGACCGACCTGCCGCCTCGGGCGGCGGTCCGGGGGGAGGGTGGAGGGGGGGGGGGGGGGGGCAGGCCGTCCCCGTCGCCGACCGTCACGCCTCAGTGCCGTGCCCGTGGCCGTGGCCGAGTCTGACGACCGACCTGCCGCCTCGGGCGGCGGTCCGGGGGGAGGGTGGAGGGGGGGGGGGGGTGGGGGGGGGGCAGGCCGTCCCCGTCGCCGACCGTCACGCCTCAGTGCCGTGCCTGTGGCCGTGGCCGACACCCGATGACCGACCTGCCGCCTCGGGCGGCGGTCCGGGACGGAGCGGCCACCGAGGTCGCCTACGCCCGGCCAGCGGACGCAGCTGCGGCCGGCGCAGCCGTGGGCGGGGGCCGCAGCCGGCGTTCAGATCGCGTGGGTGGGGCGTGGGGTACGAGCGTGGCCTGAATTGGATGGCACTGCCCGCTGATTGCGGCGCTGGCTCGCCGCTGCTGTTGGCTGTGTCGAGCTCCTCGCTGTGCACGTCGTCACGGTCATTGTAATAAATCGCGGTGGTTGCCGTCGTGTAATGGTCGAGCGAATCATGCGGGTAAGGCCGTTCATGAGTTGACGATTGTATTCCCTGGGACGTGAATGGCGTGCCTTTCCGGCCGACATCCGGCCAGTTGTTTCACGTTTTCGATGTCGCCATGACACGTTCTGCCGTCATCCCTAACCCTGCACACCGGGCCTCGGCTGACCCCGCCCCTGCCCCGCAGACGCCGGCGCCGGACGACACGTTCCTCGACTACATGGAGGAGCACGACAACGGCATCACCATCCCGCCGGACGTCACGCTGACGGCCTACGTCGACAACGCCATCGAGGACGATACCGTGCACGGCCGGCCGGCGTCTGGCAGCCTGGACGGCATGGGCGCCAAGGCTGTGGACCGGCACACCTCCTTCTTCGCGCAGCCCGGCATCCTGGCAGGTGAGCGGCTGCGGGACCGGGTGGGAGCCGCCGTTCGGGGCGGCGGCCCGTTCTGTCGGCGTGCCGGCCCGGTGGCTCTCCGTGGACGTGCGCCGAGTGGTGCGTGGGGCTCGCTCTTGTGCGGTGTGTACAAGGTTGAACGCACGTGGCTGGTTTTGAGTGACGTGCGCCGTTTTTGTTGTTTTATTTGGTCCGTAATGTGGTCCCGAGTCGCAGACAGGTGTCGAGCTTGTCCGCTGGGAGTGCTCTGGAATGGGCGGTCGAAGGGACCGGGCCACGTCGACGGCCGGGGGAGCGCTGGTGTCGGTCCTCCCAGCTCCGCCGCGCCTCGCGCGCGGTGGCCCACTTCGGCGTCGGGACCGGTGCGGCCCCCGGGCTGCCCTCGGGAGGGCGACGGGACACGGCGGTCCGCTGGTGCCGGGACGCACGCCTGGACGGCGGCGTCGGGACCGGTGCGGCCCCCGGGCTGCCCTCAGGGGGAGGGCGACGGGACACGGCAGTCCGCACGCCTGGGCGGCGGCGCCGGGGCCGGCCGGCTGGCGGTCAGGCGCGCGCGCCGCACAGGCGTAGGCTCACACCGGTGGTGCGGTCGTGTTTCTGGGCTGTCTGGGTTGTCATGTGGTTGCTGTGCACCCATCGCCACGGCGACCGCTTCGCCTGCTCTCCACGTTCCACGAACTGGCGGTGTCCGGGCATTGTTGTGGCCCACGTGCCAGTTGAGTGTAGTGTTGTGGTCGGCGGGAGCGGCGCCGGCGCATACCGTGCCGGGGGACGGCCACCGGCCGCCTGCCGCCCCCCCCCCCCCCCGCCTGCCGCCCCCCGCCCCCGGCTCGGCTGGTAATCGCCGCTCAGCGCGGCGGCGCGCATCTCATCCGGACGACTGCCGGCTGGCTGCACCGGTGGCCGCCGGCGCCGGCACTGGCGACTGGGGTGCGCCCAGCATGGCCGCCGGAAACTCGGCCGTCAGGCGGCGGGCCCTGGCGCCCTGGTCTCCGCCGGCTGCTTCTGGCGAGGCAGCTCTGGTCCCGACTTGGGAAATTGAGGGCGCTCACGGCAACTTGTGAGTCAAAAGTTGTCCTCGTGCAACGTGTCGTCCTGCATCGGTGTGAATGCTTTCTTGGTAAATTTGTTTCCGAGGTTCTCGGAACGAGGCGGACAACATATGGTTCTCGTCGCGAAGGCGTATTTAGTGTTCAGTCATGGAGCAAGGCCAGGAAATGAGCCTGGAACATGACTGTGTATACATGCCAGGCCTGTCTCGTTTCTGAGGTCCCCCTTCCAGAAACGCTTTGTATTACTGCTTGTCACACTATTGCCGGAATCGGACTTGTGCTTGACTCCGGTTGGAGTCGGAATCCGTCCCGGAATTGGCAGTTCTCGAGTCAGGATGGAATCGATCACTTTGAAGTTGACATAGTCGGACTTGAGTGAACCGGACCACCGGCGAGACAACTCAAGTAAGCATCCGGATGATGTTTGCATAGCCTGACATTGTATTCACATCTCACCACAGGCACAGAGAACTGTATTACCATCAAAATAAATGTTCTGTCCGGCTGTTATGAAGTCCATACAACGTGCGATCTCCCAAGCCGCTGCCAGTGGAACCAGTTGCATGCTGGAACTGTATCTGCCTGGGACGAAATCGGAATCAACTCAGAGCTGCGCTCCACCGTTTGGTTAAATTGGAATCAGTCCCATGGCTCGCGAGTCGGAGTCGGAATAGGTTCTGCTGAAGTCAGACCAACATCACGCTGGTCATACATGGCTTGGCCGCGCTCTAATGCGCTAACAATTATGCCTATGCACAAGTGGATGAGGCACTGCCGTTGTCTCATGGGCTTCAGACAACCCAGCGTACGATGCAGGGTTAATCCGAATCATTAAAATATCGTGTATCTTAAACTTAAGCCTGAATCAGAAAAGTACACTTACCGACAAGCATGTGCGTGATGCATTCACGCCGGCAGAAAGATGTGGCATCGGCAAGCTCACCATATGGACACAATGATACGTTCCAAGATATGAATCATAGCTTCCAAATGTTTCCTGGAACATGAAGAAGATGCGTACGGAAGCACGTAATCAGTTGTGGGAAACGACGATAAGCTCTTACATGGCATCACAGCCGGCGTCATTTGAGAACTATTTTGGCATTTCCTTCGAACCGTTCCTTTGTGATCGCGGGTGTATCGGAGGCCCGAAGAGACAGCGTTCCAAAATTCATCAGTAGGGTGTCCAGGACGTAAATACAAATTAATGCTACCAGAGTCCCGGCTGTCGCGGCCTCCGCACGCTAATCCGTTGCCCTTTGACCCCGAGTCCAGGCATGTGACCCGCGCCGTCCATTTGTCCAACCTGAGGTACTTCGATGGGGGTTCGTCCGCCGCCCGACTCAGTGCTGGCCGGCCGATTTTGAGCAAGGGGATGGATAACTGGCAGTGAACCCCAAGTCGGGGCGTGATATCGTGAAACATCGACATCTTTCCAGCCAGGTGGCCGGATATTGAAACATTGCCAAGAGAAAGCATCTCCTATTGACACACAAAAGTGCGGAATGGCCCACATGAAACGAAGCGCCTCGACCAAAATGAAGTAAAGAAAAGCCCAAAGTTGGATACTCGCTGGAATGGCAGTCATGTCACCGTAAATTGATTATTCTTGTGGATTTAGCGGAACCCCACGTAGCCGGCTGATGCGTGGCGAGCTTTAAGTCTTGCCTGGCTGGCGCACCTTAAGTGCGCCTAGAAGGGATTTCCTTGTGGTTGCAAAGAAATTAAGCCACAGTAATGGCACATGGAAGCCAGGAGCAGCATTGCATCGGCGCGCAAGCAAGCATAGTATCTCTGCAAGCAAGCAAGCGTCTCTGTAGCGTAGTGAGGATAAGATGTCTGGTAGTCGTTCGACCATTTGAAGGCATCACGGCTGTTATGATTTTAAAGCTCATTTGGCTGATGTGACGACTCATTTGGCCATTTGTTGCGCTCTGTTTTGAATCTTGTCCAAATGCCCGTCATTATGGCCAACTCGGATTTGTCGTTTTTCGTCAGCGGCACTTGTTTTGTTCCGCTGCCTGTAGCCATTGTATGTGCCATAACGTTCTGTGTATTGTTTTGGATGGATTGTTTCATTGTTTATTGCTGTTCTTGCTGTGCAATATTTGGCTGTTCTATGTGCCACTATAACATTATATTTGTAGAGTAAGACAAGGATTCTATCCATGAAGTACCACTAAGAGCAGTGATTGCACGATAGTTGGTGGTCCGCATTTGCTCAGTAGTTGGCGATGTGGCCGGTTTTTTTTTTTTGTTAAAACGTGCGTATTACGTAGTGCAGTATTTTCGTGCTGAAAAATTGATCAGCCTGGCTTCCAGTAAACAAACAAATATAGCAGGTTTTGGGTATCGAAAATGATATTTGGTGAGCGTTGAATTCTGTGGGTTCAGCGAAACTCTACAGTCCTGCTGCTCTGCAACTGTACAACTCTGCAAGCAACGCCCGTTGAAAGATAGGCGGTCTTTGTTTGTCTGCGCTCTTCTGGTCGGCGGGCGCAAAAGTGGCAGCTCTCCTAAGTACATTTGGACAGGTGGCGTGATGCTATGGACTATAGTCGGTGTAAGTCTATCCTGTTACCATTGCACGACTTCTCTGGCTTTAAGACGAGCTTTGTCGGCTATGTGAAACCCATCGCCCCGAGACATTGGGCAATCCAAGCCTTGTCGTCATAGTCTTGATCTGATTGCATGAACATTCGAAGGATGTGTGACTCTACCTTCATGAAGAATGTAAGTAATGTGCGCCACCCATTCTTGAACGGAACGTTGGCAGGCGCTGGACAGGATGCGTTTCTCTGCCCTGACGCGGCTTTGGCTTGGGGCAGCCCCGCGCGACTGGACTCCAGCCGTAGTCGCTCATTCCCAGCCGTCGTCCCCGTACCCGGGGCTCGTCGCGCACCACCAGTGCATTACGCGGCCGAGGAGCCCTCTGTTTCGGTAGCACTGTGAAACGAAGCGTGCAAGGCGGCGTCGGGAGCCATGGGTCGCGTGCCGAGGAGTGCCCCCCCCCCCCCCTGTCCGGCGCCTCAGAGGGACGGTGTCCCCGAGCAACCGTGCGCGGTCAGGGCTGGCCGTCGGCACCGGTGCTGACGCTGCCGGCCGGGAGCAGCGCAGCCACCCAGCTGCCCTGGCGGCTGTGGCCGTTGGCCAGGCCGCGCGGGGCAAGCCGAGCCGAGCCGGGCAGGGTCCAGCCGAGCAGTACTGCGGCACGGCACCCTGCCGCCCGCCCGCCCCGACCGCGGCAGGGAGGCGGTGATGGCGGCAGGACGCTGACGCCGCCGCTGACGGTGGCGGGGTCGCGGCCCCCGGCAGTGCCGCCTCGGCCCGCGCCCGCAGTGCTCTGTGTCGTGAGAGCCGTGCCTCCGTGACCCCTTCCGCAGGGAGAACTCGCCGGGATCTGCGCCTGGTCGCCGCGGTCCCCGCCTTGCCCCGCCCTGGTCCGCTGCCGACTGACAAGCGTCGTCTCGTTACAGCCGTGGTGGGAGGCGCCGTGGTCGGTCTGCTCTGCGCCATTCTGCTCGTCATGCTCATCGTCTACCGGATGCGGAAGAAGGACGAGGGCTCGTACCCGCTGGACGAGCCCAAACGCTCACTCACCGGCAACACCTACTCCAAAAACTACAACAAGGAGTTCTATGCGTAGGGGCGTGCGCGCGCGATCGCTGTGTTCCACTGTTGTCTGTGTGGGAGTAAAGGAGTGCGTGAGATGAGGAGTGTGACGGCTGCGCCGGCCCACGGTCGGTCGGCCGCCGCTGTGAGGGTGCGCTCAGTCAGGACAAGCCACTGACGCGAGACGCAGTTCGTGTCTGGACCACCCAAATGTATTTTGTACGTAATTGGGTGACGAAATATCGGGCCGGGAAGATTATTTTGTAGAGGCACGTACGGAGGATTCCATGCAGCTAACTGCTTTTATCTACCCGCCATGACCATTCACATGTTTCGGTGTTGAACGCCGACGACTGCCCGTTGCGTGGTTCGCTGCGTCGCTGACATGCAGCGCCACCTGCGATACTACTTGCGCAGCAATCCGCTGCGCGTCGCTAGTGGTGTCCGAGCACGCTCTCGTTCCTATTTTAGCCGTCAGACCCGGCGCTGTGTGTGTTGAAATAGGCGAGACGGGCGCGCTCGGGCGTGAGGAGCCGCCAGGCCGCGGTGATGGGAGCCCTGCCGGGACGGCAGCGCTGGGCCGGCGGTGTCCGGCCGAGGGTCACAAGCAGGGCGTGTTCAGAGACGGGACGGGCTGCGCGAACCGACCGACGCTCGCACCACTGTGCCATACGGGATGGCCGTGCTCGCCACCACGCTGTGTAGCCCTGCACCGCATTGCCCGCGCGTCCTGGCGCCGATTTTTGAGCGGACTGATGAGCTCTGGCGGCCAAAGTGTTCTGAGAGATTATTCGCTGTAATCATCGCGTAGTGCTTACGTCGAGAGACGGGAGATTATGACTTGTAACGCTTCTTCCCTAGGTTGTATGATTTTTCGGAGGCAGGGTTTTACACGTTAGTACAACGACTGGATGCCCGCGCTCTGTTAACATAGGAAGTGCGGTGACTGTTGATGTATGGTTGGTCGTCGCCTTGCACTGCTAGCCGAATTCACTGTCATCAACCCTAGCTATAATACACTGTTTCTACAGAACTGATGGCAAATAAAGATTCATTAATTATGAGCGGTGTCGATTAGGGTAAAACATTGAATGTGATCGTTATGCTTGCGCTCTTGATGAAAGTTCCACTTACGCAGGGGCCAAGTCGAAGCATGCCCGTCATCAGAAGAGATGGCAGTGTCGCGATTTCCAGAGCTGCGAGGCGGGATTGATGCAGCGACAATGTGGTCGGATCAGTGGTAGTTTCCATTCAATGCGAGGAAATACAAGGGTCGTGCGGGGCTGTCGGGGAAATATGGAGCATCACTTTACCATGGCAGGAAATGCCCTCCAGCATACAAAGAGCGAGAAGGGTCTAGAGTTATCGATAAGTTGCGCTTGCATGCAGGTGCAGTAGTTGCTAAGGCATTGAAGGCCCGGGAGATGTAGTAACTTAATGGCTTGCACAGGGTTTTGAATTAAAGCCATTGAGCTGCTGGTAAGAACAACATGGCTGATCAAAATTATCAGCGTTCAATCGAATTTGTCTTACAAGCAAAAAATCCAAACATTCGGGGACACTTTGTACCGGGTTAGGGAATGTCGAAGAGAGTTTTTGCGCGCGGTTGCAAGGACAGGCAACAGGCAGTCTCCAATGGGAGCGCTAAATCACGAGAATCTCAATGTAGGTTAGTGGGACCCTTCACCCCCCCCCCCCCGGCGTTCTCCGCCTTCGTGATACTATAAGAGACTTGTGTGAGCATGATTAAAACGCTTCGGATCTCGACCGCGGCTCGAGGGCCTGCCGAAGACTCCAGCAACACACACACACACACACACGCACACGCACACGCACACACACACGCACACACACACACACACACACACACACACCACACACACACACACACACACACACACACACACACACACGCACGCACGCACGCACGCACACACACACACACACACACACATACACACACGCACGCACGCACGCACGCACGCACGCACACACGCGCGCGCGTACACACACACACACACACACACACACACACACACACACACACCACACACCACACACACACACACCCACGCACGCCTCCGACTAATATTTCGGGTCACGACCCCACGAGCCACGCTTCTTGATGTGACCTACAGCCAGTCCTCCAGGCCCTTGTGCCCTCCAACCGGACTTTGCTAGTCGGTTCCGGTGGGTCGCCCGGGCCGCTCTTCGGGCCTCATCAAAAACACTTCCCCTGGTCGGCTCGGGACCCTTGCGAGCACGGAGCCTTTTGTTAGGCGCTGTGGGCCCCTGACAGATACAAGGCTCCCGGCCTGTGCAAGTCACTGGCCCGGCTCGGTAGCTGATTGGGAAGTGGGTTCATGGAATTGGGCAAGGCCCATACCGACACGGAGCCAACCATGTGGTACAGTGGTACCTGACCGACATATAGGCTCATATCGCCTCGGGGGCCCCCGATAGGCGTAAAGGGCTTATTTCACCGTTATTTGAGGGCCCGTCTTCGCAGGTTTGGGCCCCTGAGTAAGATTCCGACCAACCCTTTATGCCCTCAGACCTTCCAACCGGCCCCTTGATTGTCGGACCGGGTGAACCCTCCAAGCTATTTGGACCTCCTCGAACACTGCCTCTGGCCGACTCGGGGCCCCTCGACAGCACAGGGCCCCTGTTAGGCGCTGTGGAGCCCCGAGCAATGTAAATTGCTGGATCCGGCTTCGTCCCTGCTTGGAAATGGACCCCTAGGCACATGGCGCCACCGAGCCCACTGTGCGTTATTGGTGACATCTGACCGAAATTTGGGCGCTTATCGACTCAGTGAGCCCCTGATCAGCGCCCAAGGCCCTCTGGCTGACATTGGAGTGCTCGGCCCTGCGGGCCGAGGCCCCTGAATAGGACCCCTGGCTGGCTTTTCGGGCCCCTTGGGCCCTCAAATCAGGTCGTTAATCGTAGGCTCCGAAAGGCCCTTCGGGCCCCTCGGAACCTAAGGGGGGGGGGCACGTGCTACCTGTGCCCCTGCCTGCGCTACTGGTTGTTATACACGCATTTAGATTAAGTTTGGCTTTGATAAAAAAAAAATCATGCATTGAGGAAATCATACACTACCAATATTCGGTAACATCCACGCTCCTACACCCATACCCTTTTCCTTTACCCTTTACACCCACCCTTTTCGGATCACGATAACTAAAAAAGAAACAAAGACCCTAAGTGGCTACATTTGGTTTTAGCGAAATTTATGTTGAACTGAGAGGAGCGTCATGCCGGCCTGTTGCACACCACATCTCAGGTCACTTCAAGAGCATTTAGGTGATTCAGGCAGGAATTCTGCCCTATTGCTGCGGTGACTGACAATGCTCTTATTTTGGCACTTGCCTTGCCACTAGCGTCCTGCTGACTTTTTATTTTATTTGATTTTGATTGACATTTGATTTGACATGACATTGACATTTGACATGACATTAACACTTGATTGGTCGGACCTTGATCTGACCTTCATAACTGACCCTAGGTCTATCAAATTTGCGTCTTCAATTGGTGTGCTGCCTAGGGAACTATCCCATAGATATATTGATTCCTTTAACACTTCGTTATTGCATCTGATTGAACAGTTATCGAGAAATTGTCTTCGCTAAATCTATGGCCTGAATTTGACCTGCCAAACGTCAGTGACCTTACAAAATACACCTAAACTTTTATATCAAACGATTCGCTGAAATTTTTTATAGCCACGCAAAATCCGGTGTGGCTGCGTCGTGCAGTTCGGAAAATAACATGGAAGAACCTTGGGGAGGGAATCAAACTGACCCCACCCGAGGGCGTTTTAAATCTCCCTTTTTCGCGTCTTTCTGTTAAAAACAATAGTCGTGCAGTGCGAAAGTAACTGAACCAATGAGCATAGATGGATGGGATCAAACGTGAGTCAAGTAGCTTTGTCACTGATGCCCATGTAGATAACAGCGAGTATAGGAAATAATAATAAAAAACATGCAAATAAGTCACACTGCCAAGGCGATACGGACAATAATGTGCTGTTGCCTCAAAAGGATCATGATACTTTACAGCCACAAGAGCAGCGCACAATAATTTGGACAATAGATTCACACCTATGCACAGCTGGTGAAAGATCATTTAACTGACATTTTCTTGGCACACGACACATTGTGCATGATGCAAGCCGGATTTCCCAAACACATATAAGACACAAAAGCCATAGCACCAGCACACCTGAAATCTCAGGCCTGAATCGTTTTCAAAGTCCACACATTGGGCGATGGGATCGCTCCAATCTTCCATTCTTCTGCTGCTTTGGCCTGAGCGACTTCCGCGGAGCCACGCTCATAGACATGGCCCTTCAGGTACTCCTCACAAAAAAAAACAAGTACGGAGGTAACAGTTCAGGAGAATAAGCCGCCCACTCCACATCAAATCAATAAACCAGGATTTGCCTGGAAAGTATGGCTCCTGTTTGGCGTGTCAGTGAACCATTGGTATATTATCATCTGTTTCTTTATGTTTTGCAGGTTTGAGTTTAGGAAACACACCTTTATCGTACAGGTGTAGTTTTAGATGTTTTTACTGGTCATTAGGGACCAGCACCGTACAGCTGAATCTCAAAGCAACAGGGAAGCGATTTGTCGCGCTCCGTGCGGCTGGTGGCACGACTTAGCTGCATTTCTTCGAAATTTTGGTGTTCCCGAATGAGTTTCCTGGCCTGGGGCTGGGATATTCGAAAAATGCAAACGTTCTATGGATTTTGAGATTTTTCACCCACGACAAAGTTTGTTGTCTGCTAGGGCATTGCCTCTTTTGAAACCGAAACCGTGTGTAGACTTCAAGCGTCTCTGTTAGAAATATTTGTTATTGCATATTTTCAACTCAGGGTGTCTTTATCTCGAATATTTACTCAATTTTAATCAGTCATAGCTTCAGCACTAACGAACGCTTTCGTAAATACATGCCATGGCACGTACGATATACGCGAATATTGTTAACAGACCTAAACTGCTTATCTTCAAAACACAGCCGTTAACAAGGAAAATATCACACTTTATGGGACACCTGGGGCCCACAGACCAGTAAGAGTGAGAACATGTCCTGTACTGCCATGGGCGTAGAAACAGGAGGGGGGGGGGGGAGGCAGGAGGCCATGCCCCCCCCCTCCCACTTTTCAGGTGGGGGGCCAGCAGTGCTAACTGCCCCCCCCCCCCTCCTCCTCCACATTTTTCAGATTTAGGCTGTTGTTTGGCTTATTTCTGCACTACATTAAACATATGTGCCGATTACCTAGTTCACCAACCGTCTTCCTCAAGATGAGTCATCTTTCTCGGTTACTCATTGGCCACCACTTAGTGTTACAACCACAGGGCCGACGCGGCTCGGCCTATGGAGACTGCAACGCCGGGTATTGAGATCTTTGTTGCTATGGCTTGCGGGCGCGCATGTTCAAACCATGTTACTCAGCTTTTATCAGTGATCGACTCTGACTGAATCTTGAGCATTTTAACCAAAACATGGATTAACTATCCTAATACAAATTTGGGACCCCCATTTCATCTGCGGTCTACGTCCAGGGAGTCCCCAATATCTCTGAAGAAAAAAAAAACAACGTGAAACAGGAGTCAATGTGACAATGATTGGACCACCTGTGGCGATTAGGGATGTTGTTGCGTCAGTGAGGGTTTCTGTGCTGATCCAGGGCCAACTGCGCGGGTCAGAAGGCCTGCCGTGTCAGGGAGAGGAACAATTTGTGTGTGATATATCCTAATGACCCTCCGGATCGATCAGGAGATCTTACCCCGTGTCACCAGAATGACAGCCGGAAGACACTTTGCGATAGGATGGAATGACAGTTCAGCCCTTGATCTGAAACGTTAATGTGCCCCAGGTGTTCTACTCAAGGGGCCCCTGCCTGGAAGGAAATAAGGGGTCTCAATTTTGCTGAGTAGAGTGGTAGCCTCATTACTGTTGAACAGAGTGGGTTGGAATGAGTTAAAAAAAAATGATCAAAGCCCTTTCATATTTGCCTGAAAACGCTCACTTTTCGGGATGAATAAGTAAAAAA